TTACCCCTTTTATGAGGCTGGGTCATCTGCAGACTTAGCAGAAGACCTGAGAAGGAATTCCAGCCTTGGCGAGCCCAGACACACAAAGACCAACATTGAAGTGGTGAGTTTCAGAGGAGAGAAGGGGGCTTATTTGAAAGATCTTGCAAAGATGAAATTGGTAGGCACTAATAGCTTGGATGTGGGGGATGACAGATAGTGAGGAATCTAGGATGACTCTTAGGTTGCCAGTCTGAAGAACTAGGAGGGTGGTATTGTCCTCTATAGTGATTAAAAAGGTAGGAGGGGAGGAGAGTTCTTGGGAAAGTTAATGAGTTCTGTTTTGGCCATGTTGACTTCAAGATGTTTGAAAGGCAGTTGGAAATGCAAGATTGGAGGTCAGTAGAGAGATTGGGGCAGGAAAAGTAGATTTGAAAATCATCAGCATATGTCCACATCCATAAAAGGAATTATGGAAGTCGAATCGCTATCACTTATTTTTACCTTCGTTGAGTTTTGCTTCATCTTTCTGATGGTTCTTCCTATTGGTTTTAATTTTTACTTACAACTTCACTAATGTGAAAATATGTTTAATGGGTATGTAAATGTAAAGCCTATATCAAATTGTGTGCCGTTTGGGGGAGGGTGGGGGGAGGAAGAGGGAGAAAAATTTTCAACTCAAAAGCATATGGAAGTGATTGTTGATAAATCAAAATAAATTAATAAAATTTTTTTAAAAATCATCAGCATAGAGAAAGTAATTAAATCCATGGAAGCTGATAAGATCACCAAGGGAAGTAGCATAAAGGGAGAAGAGAAGAGAGCCCAGGACAGAACCCTGTGGGATACCTGCTGTTAGAGCAGACAGAGGATCAGTCAGAGAGATAGAAGGAAAACCAGAAGAGTGATGTCCTAAAAACCTAGAGAAAAAGAGAACATCAGGTGAAGAGTGATCAAAAGTGTCAACGCTGCAGAGAGGTCAAAGAGAATGAGATTTTGAAAAGGTCATTGGATTCAGTAAACTAATAAATCATTAGTCACTTTGGAGAAAGTCAGAAGCCAGATTGTAAGTGATTAAGAAGAGAAGGAGAGGAGAGAAAGAAAGTAGAGGCACCTATTGTAGAGTTTGGATACAAAGGGCAGAAAAGATATAGGATGATGAATAACAGGGAAGGAAGGATCAAGTAAGGGTTTGGGTTTTTTTTTTCAGGATAGGGGAGACCTGAGCCTCTTTGCAGGCAGTAGGAAATGAGCCAGTAGAGGGAAAGAATGAAAATAAGTAAGAATGGGATGATAGAGGGAGCAATCTGTTGAAGGAGACAAGATGGAATGGGATTACAAAAGTAGAGGGGTTAGCCTTGGTAAAGAGTAACGAAAGCTTCATTATGTGAAACAGGGGCAAAGGAGAAGATAGTGGCAGAAGGCATCTGAATGACAGATGAGGAAGAGGGGAGAAGATGGAGTTCATAGTGAATGGCCTCAATTTTTTCTGTAAAATATGAGGCAGGTTCTCAGCAGAGAGGGTGGGAGGAGGAAGGAGCTATAGGAGGTTTGAGGAGGGATGAAAAGAATTGGAAGAGTTGCTGTGGAGAGAGGGATAGCAAGTTGATAAGGTAAGTATAGTAGATTGCCTCTTAGCAGTGAAGGGCCAGTTGAGATTATGTAACATAGTTAAGTGGACCCAGTAGAACAGTTGCATGATTTTCTCCCTCTTCATTCAGCAACACACATGTAGGTGAAAATGGTGGGAGTGATCCAAGGGTGAGGCTTGGCTAGGTGTAATAAATAGGTGATAGGATAAAGGGGCTAGGGATTCAAGAGAGGATCATGTAAGGTTGAATTGGTTCATTAATGGATGGGGAGAAGAGGAGAGAGTACCTAGGGCAGGGCAGATGGCCTGGGAGAGAATTGAGGGGTCAAAGGATTGGAGGTCACAGTATGGATGAAGAGTAGTAGGGTTATACAAAGGAAGGCAGAGGGAGAGGTAAAAAGCCAATAGATTATGGTTGGATAGAGGATTACAGAATTCCTTAATATTGAAGTAGTACATTTGTGGTTGATGGCAAGATACTATCTTTGCATGTTTGTAAGGTGGGGTGGAACTCACTGGCGGTAAGTTGAGGAACTAAGTGCTTAGGGTATTTAAGGGAGAATCAATATGTATGCTGAAGTCCCCAAGTATGAGGGTAGGAGTTGGGAAAGAGAGAAAAATTGTAGGACAGATGTTGAACTCACTGAAGAAGAAAGGAGAGTGACTGGGACAGTTACCAGGACTTTCATTGGGTGGTGCATATAAAGAGCATGAACCTCAAAGGAGGAGAAGTTATTGGATGCTGAAAGAAGGAGGAGAACCTGAAGGTGTCAGTGGGGAGCAAGGAGTATTCCAACTCCCTCACCTGAGTAGTAAGTAGAGAAGAATGAATGAAGGTGCATTAAAGAGGGTGACCAGGGAACCTATGTCATCAGGGAAAGTCAAGTTCTCAGTAAGAGCTAGTAGATAGATTGAGTGGGAGAGGAATAAATTTAAGATGAAGGGAAGTTTGTTGCCTATGAACAGGCATCCTGTAGGGCACAGTGGAAGGGCTGGGTAATATTAAGATGAAACCTGGAGGTGGGAAGATTGAGGGGGATAGGAATGAGGAATTGGGTGGTAGGAAGTGTGGAGTGGGGTTTGACAATAATCTATAAGAGCTCATCCTCACTGGGATGTAAAAGGTTATGACCAGGAGTGAGAATGTTCATCATTGAGTGGAGGGCACCTGAAGACTCTTTCAGGGAATCCTTGAGGTCAAAATTATTTTCATAAAAATACTATGTTGGTTTTTTTTGCTTATTAAAATACTGCTGCCTTTACCAACTACATATTTGTCATAAGGTTGGCTTTCTTTATATACTTTAACCAAAACAACATATAACAGTAGGTTGAATTCAGAAACAGATTTGACAATCTAGTTGCCTCTCTTAGGTATTAAAGAGATTTGCAAAAATAAGTAAACAATGTCATTTTTCTCATCAGTTTTTTTGTTTGAAAAATAGTTATGTTTTATTTTTAAAGTATGTTAATGTGTAGTGGCTTTATGTTATTTTAATGAATAAATTTTTATGTTTTAATTTCCAGTGTGGTAAATATTGATAGATATAATATAAACAAAAGGTCTTTGAGGTCCTCAACAATTTTTAAGAGTGTAAAGGGACCCTGGGACCAAAAAGTTGAGAACCACTGCCCAACAGATTCCTACACAAAAATGTATACAAATAATCATAAAACAACTTTAGATGATTTAGAAGGGTCAAAAAGTGGCAAGAAAAATTCAAAGAGGAAGCAATAACTTTTAGCTGGAGGGATAACATTTGCATGGTATTTTAAGATTTCCATGTGTTTGCTGTACATACAGTGTTTTATTTGATACAGTAATCCAGTCAGGTACTATAAGTATTATTGTCTCTATTTTACAAATGAGGAAACTGAGAACCAGAGATTTGCCCATGGTCACAGAGCTAACGTCAAGAGAGTTTTGGCTGTGAAAAGAGAGCTGGACTTCATGACCTCTAAGTACCTTTCCAATTCTACATCTATGTTCCTATGACTTCTAAATTTCCTTCCACCTCTAATGCCTATGGCATGTTGTATATGCATCTGTAGGTATCTATACAATATGCTTATATATACACACATATCTGATTTTATATATATATACATATATGGGAAGCTAGGTGGGGCAGTGGATAGAGTGCAGGGCCTAGAGACAGGAAGATTCATCTTTATGAGTTCAAATATGGTCTCAGACACTTACTAGCTATGTGACCTTGGGCAAGTCACTTAACCACATTTGTCTCAGTTTCCTCTCTGTAAAATGAGCTAGAAAGGGAGATGACAAGCTACTCCAGTATCTCTGCCAAGAAAACTCCTAATGGGGTCACGAAGTTAGATATGACTGAACAACATATATGTATACAGACACACAAACATGTGTATATTTATAAATGTATATATATGTACAGACGTAGGGGACTGAAAGGCAATTTAGCCCATTACCACCCCCATTTTAGAGATAAGGAAACTGAGACCTAAGAAGGTCGATTTGCTCAGTCATTTATGTTCAGTACCAGACAATGGGCTTCTGTTTCCATCCACTCAATGTTCCTTCTACTGTACCACATGGCCTCAATCTGGGGAACGGGAGGTGGAAGAATCAAGTATTTATTAAGTACCTACTGTGTGCCACGCACTGTGCTAAACACTTGAAACATATTTGATCCTTACAGCAACCGGTGGAGGTAGATGCTATTATCTCCATTTTACAGATGAGGAAACTGAGGCAAATGATGGTTAAGTGACTTTCCCAGTATCAGACATCTAAGAAGTGTCAGACCAGATTTGAACTCAGGTCTTCCTACTCCAGGTCCAGTGTGCTGTTGCCTCAGAGCCCAGGATCATCTCCCTAAGACTTATGGGTGGGGGCTGCTAGGTGGTACAGTGGATAGTGCACTGACCCTGGAGGCAGGCTCTGAGTTCAAATGTGACCTCAGATACTTGCTACTTACTAGCTGTGTGACCCTGGGCAACTGCCCCAGAAAAAAAGACTTAGCGGTAGAACTGTAGTGGGATGGGTCTGTTATAGGAAGCAGAGTTCGTTCCAAGGACCCCAGAAAGCCGGTCTTGGGCAGGAGGCGGAGGAAGCCCCAGGGAACGCCCTCGCACAGTGGGAAAAGCCAGCTTGGATTTCAAATCAAGGAATTCATGAGTCTGCTACTGTGACTGTGACCTAGGGAAAGTCGGTTTCTGAGGCTCTCTGAGCCTGTTTCCTCAACTGTAAAATGAGGGAGGCGAGGCTTAGGATGACCTCTGAGGTCCCGAAGATCCTGGATGTCGAGCATTCCACAGCTCTTCCACCAGCTCTGAGAAAACTCGCTCCTCGCTGAGCTAAAGTCAAGCACGCCGAAGGCCGGCAGATGGCGCATGCGCTCTTCTGAAGCCTAGCCCCGCCCCCTCTCCACCGTCCGTTTTCAAAACTCTTCCTGCAGCTCTCCTTCGGCCTTCCTCCCTCGCCCCGCCCAATCTTCCGCTCGCGGACTCCGGGGAGTGACGCACTTCCGGTAGTGCCGCCTAGTGTGCGGCGTTCCCAGAGTGAGAGACAGGACGAGATGGAGGCGCAGTGGTCGGGTGGTGTGGCTGAGGCTACGTCTACAGCCTCGGGCTCGAAGACGGCGAACAAAGTTCCCAAAGAGCTTCTGTCGCTGGACCCGAAGCTGCAGACCGAGTTTCAGAAGCGGGTGGCAAATGTCCGCAAGCGCGGAGCTAATAAGGTGAGCGGCCGTTGAGGAGCGGCGGATCCAGCTGCTTGCATGTGCACACCTCGCGTCAACGGTGGCCGGGGGCGGGAGCAGGGGCGGGGACTCCTGCCACGCGCGTCTGTCGGGGTCCGGCGCATGCCGGGGGTGGGGGAGGTTTGTGACGAGGCGGACACGAGTATCCTTTCCGACCTGAGTGGGCCCCGCCGGTCTTCCTGCCAGGCTCGGCCCGGGAGCGCGCTGTTTTATTTTCCTACTCTCCCCGCCCCCTCCCCATCTTGATTACACATTCAGGTTTCCTGCGCCTCCGTAGGTGAGGGTCTGCTTAGAAAAGGACCTTGATGTGAAGTTTGTTAGATGGGAGGCATTGGGCTTCAAGGGGCTCGGGGTGGGGGTGGGATGCGTAGTAATTCAAGGGTTTTGCCCTTCAGGGGCCTGCAGTCTGTGACAAATTGTACTATGGGGGAACGTTGCCTGGAGGAGAAGGGATGTGAGCTAGGTCTTGAAGGATGAATAGAATGATAGAATTAAAGCTGGAGGGACCTTTGGAGCACATCTGGGATTTGGGTTGTCAAGTCAGAAAAGTCCTGAATAGAAGGTTATCAGAGACTTAGAATATAGGCAGTGACAGAAAATAAGAATTTTTGAGATAAGAGAACAATAAAGAAAGAAGAAATACATAGTGGGGGAGAGAGACCTCATGTTACTTAATCCTAAATGGCTTAGACCAGGGGTGGAGAACCTGTGGCCTTCTAGGTCCTTGGCTATGGCCTTTTGACTGAGTCCAAGTTTTACAGAACAAATCCTTTTATTAAAGGGATTTTTCTATGAAATTTGAATTCAGTCAAAGAGCAGCACTTGAGGCGTTAGAGAGCCACCTGTGGCCTTAAGGCTGCAGGTTTCCCACCCCTTTCTTCCTGCCACCACCTCTCATCACAATATATACTCTTCTGCTTTTCCCTCTCAGGTAAGAGCATCAAATATGGCGGGCAGGGGGAAAAGCAGCACAGAAATTCTGATATTCCCACTCTCACCCCAGCCCAAGTAGTTCTGTAAGTACTTCAGGCCCATGTTTTTCAATTAGGAGACACTGAAAGACATGCCTACCTCCTTTCTGGTTTATAATCTAAAATCCATTGCCTTGGATGGTCATGTTTCAAAGACTTCTAATCACAATGAAGAGTAAATATGTAAAAGGTTGAGATTAGCTATTTAAAGGAAAGGTAAATGATTTTGGGGGCATCTTTAGAATTACAAGTATGGGATCATGGACTTAGAACTGGAAGGGGCCTAAGAGGGCATCTAGGCCCCATTTTAAAGGCAAGAGTTGGATTAGTTATATTTAGGGAAAACTTTTCTTAGGTTAAATGAGTATGAAAAATGATGTGAGCTTTTTTCCCTCATCTTTTCAGCCAGAGAAACTGACTCCTGGAGTGGTATATTTGGGTCACCTTCCCAGAGGCCTTTATGAACCTCAACTCAAGGAATACTTCACTCAATTTGGAACTGTCAAAAGACTTAGGCTCTCCCGAAGTAAAAAGGTAAAGATTTTGTACTTCATAGGATCATAGATTTTAACCTTGAAGGGACCTTAGAGGCTGATTTTACACATTAAGAAATTGAGGCTTGAAAAGGTTAAGTTTCTTGCCCAGGATCACACAACTAGTAATACTTGTCCAAGGCAGGATTTAAACCTGGGTCTTCTGATTCCAAGTCTAGCACTATCCTTAATTTAGCCTGTTTTGTGAAAAAGAGGTTTATTTTCTTTCTATAGGACTCTGCTCTCACCCGTTTCTTGTTCCTTTTTCATCTGCTTTTTCTAGTCAGTTTCCATTGTTGAAATTCGTATAGGAAAATTGGAAATCAGGAATTTATTGGAAGCACAATCATCCTAAATGTCATTTAATACATCATGATTCCATGTTTATTTGTTTTTGAGTGTCAGAATGAGAGGATTGAATATGTTGTCTCTCTGTAATCTGCTTATAGTATAGTATTAAGTGATTTCCATAAAAGCTAAGTGCAGCTAAGTTTAATTATTTCATCTGTCATATTCCTAGAGAAAATATGATTGCAAGGGGAATATAAATCATGGTGCAGAGACTTTTAACTTCTTCCTTGAGACTGGAAAATGACCATTGGAAGTTTTACTGCAGGGTGGATCAGAATTGTTTTTCAGAGCCTGCACACCTCCTATACTACCTATTCCCTTTCCATCCTTCATTAAAAGCTATGTCAGAAAAAGACCCTTCAGTCATTGTTATACTTTTAAATTAACAGTTTTAAAAAGCATAAATACGAGTCATTTCCGAGTAAATACTACAACATGTGGGTCTGTAACATTTCTATAGTTTTTAGCTAATGGAATTAAATAACCCCAATAAGCATCTTTGTCATAATAGGGAGTCAGCTCCCTTTCAGTTCAACAAACATTAAGTATCTATACTGTGTAAAGGAGGCTGTTGTAAGCATTATGCTAAATGATGGGTTAACAAAGACCAAAAATGAAAAACAGTCTCTGCCTTTAAAGGAATCTGGAGTGGCTTGCTAGCAGAGGTAGCACCTTAGTTGAGCCTCAAAGAAGCTAATGTGCAGGTGCTTGGAGACAGAAGATTGATTCCAAGATCAGGGAATTGAAAATAAAGCATTTTGATTAGAATGTAGAAGTTGTAAGAGGAGTACTGTGAAACCTGGAGTAATACAGATCGAGCCAGATTATGGAGTTTTAAATCCTAGGTAAGGCATTTGTATTTTATCCTAGAAACAATAGAGCAATTCTGAAGGTTCTTGAACAGGGGTATGACATGGTTAGTGGTGCCAAAGATTGTATTCAGGTTGGGGGGCAGCTAAATGGTGCAGTGGATGTTCTTGGAGTCAGGAAGATTCCACTTCCTCAGACACTTAATAGCTGTGTGTCCCTGGGAAAGTCACTTAACCCTGTTTACCTCAGTTTCCTCATCTGTAAAATAAGTATCTTTTGGCAAGAAAACCCCAAATGGAGTTGCAAAGAATTGGGCACGAATGAACAGCAACAATATTCAGGTTGTTAACATTTTAGACTAATTGAAGCTGCTGCCCCCAGACTTTTTCCTCTTTACTGCCTGATAAGAGGAATACCCTTCTCCCAAGGAAGTGAATTTTGGCACATGATTTAAAAATTTACCAAGTTGTATTTAAAGATGATGAAAAATCACTAGACTGGATCTCATCTCTTAACTTTGTGTGGGCTCACTAGCAACACAACATAATTTGGAGGGAGTCAGATTGGTCAGAATACTACCTATCTTCAAGTATTTGAAGTATCATTATGCCCGAAAGGGTAGAACTAGAAGTAATGGTTAGAAATTGGCAGAAAAACCAATTTACTCTTGGCTAGATGACCATAGAGATCTTCTAACTCTTAAAATGTATGATTCGGTGACCTGGAATGACAAATCTTCTAGACATCCTCCCACAGAGATATATAAGTGGATGAGATCCTAGCAAATTCAATATTTCCCAGCCGCTACTTGTCTTTTCTAGTTCTCTTATGATTTTATTTTTTATAAGTTTTTTTTTTATATTTTCTCTTACATCATTATCTCAATAATCTTTCTATTCCCTCCAAGACAGCCAATTCATATGATAAATAGCGGTTTTTTTAGAGAGGAAAAAAGATCACATCTAATTAATACTTTTAAAAACTCCTGTATTATGTAGTAACACTGTTGAACCTTCTATCTCCACAAAATGGTAGGTTGGAGATTGTTTTCTTATATCTCTGCTTTTGAGTCTTACTTGGTGTTTATGATTTTGTTACTTTTTTTTTAGTTTTCTGTGTGTAATTCTGTCCATTTACATTGTTGAGTTACTATATATATTTTCTTGGTTCTGTTTACTGTTCATCTAGATAATTCCGTGTTTTTCTTTATTCATTGCACTTATCTCATTTCTTTTAGCATAGTGCTATTCTATTATATTAATGTGCCAAAATTTGTTTAGGTATTCCGCAACTGATTGGCATCTTCTTTGTTTCTAATTCTTAGTTCTCATAAAAAATGCTTCTATAAAATACTTTGGAGTATATCAGAACTTTTTTCTTATTGATGACTTCCTTGGGGAAGCCCACTAGTGGAATCTGATTCAAAGGATATGGACATTTTAATCACTTTATTTACATAATTACATGTTGCTTTCCAAAAGGGTCATGCCATTTCACATTTCCACCAACAGTGTATTAGTATGCCTCTCCTTCCACAACTCTTCCAACATTGATTGTTGTCAATTTTTTGTCATTTTTGCTAATTTGCATCTCATTTGATTTTAAAGTAGATTTCTTACTGCCAGTGTTTTACAATTGAACCCATCCTACTCTCTAGAAACTGTAGAAACTTCAGTGGGAGTTTCTGCAGAATCACTTTCTGTGCCCCTCTGCTTCTTCCTAGCAGTTATAGAAGTATTTGAGGGATCCCTTTCTGCATTGCACATGACAGCATTTCTGTTCGCATCCAGTTCCTAGGCCTGTCAATTCCTAAACTCCTGACTTAGGTAGTATAATGGTATGTAAGTACAGGTACCCACTCCATGTATGACACCACTACTGAGCTTATAAGACTATGCCATTTTCTAAATTAAAATGTCGTGTTCATTACATCATAAGTCCTGGATTCTAGTGATGATAAAAGTTGAGTCAGTAAGTATTAAGTGCCTTACTGTGTGTCAGACACTATGCTAAGCACTGGGAATTAGAAGAAAGGCTTTAAAAAAAAAGTTGCTCTCTAGGAACCCATAATCTAATGGAGGAGAGTTTAAGGTGTCCTGGAGGTATCTGTTTTGATATACTATTTGGAGATTTGGGAATATGAGATTAAAGATCTGGAGATAGGTCAGGGTTGAATAAGTAGATCTGAGAATCATCTGCATAGACATAATAAGTGAATCCTTGGGAGGTGATGAGATCACCAAATGAAAATAATAGATAAGAGGGTCCAGGAAGGAGCCTTGGGGGACACCCCTGGTTAGATGGATACAACTGGATGAAGTTCCAGCAAAGGAAACTGAAAAGGAACGGTGTTCATACAGGGAGGAGAACCAAGAGAGAGCAATGTTCTGAAAACCTGGAGGGAAAAGAGTAAATATTTAAAATGGCTACTACTTGTTTGTATCACAACTGTATTAACTTCCTTTTAAAAAATTTTTTTTCTCATTTTTTAAATTGCTGGCCATTCTTGATTGTGTGATGAAGTATTATGTTAGATGTTTTCAGTCTGGCAAATGTAACAAGCAATTTATATGACTTAAATTAGTGAAATTCTGTGGAATTTTTTGTTTATTAAAATTTTCACACTGCTCCTTCTCATGATGGACTTTGACTTTCTCTTGCAGACTGGAAATAGTAAGGGCTATGGATTTCTGGAGTTTGAATCTGATGATGTTGCTAAGATTGTTGCTGATACAATGAACAACTACCTTTTTTGTGAAAGGCTATTGAAGTGTAAGTATCTCTGAAAGATATTTTCCTGTTAGACTTGTGACGTGATTATAATATGGTCTGTCTCAGGGGTGGGCAGTCTTCTCCTTTTTCCCTTTTATCTTACATTTAAAATTACAAATGAGTCCTTTTCTAGTGGTGAAGGCTTATGTGTATGGTAATCAGGCTACTCAGACACAACTAACTCATTTCCAGGGTAATTCCTTGTGGATAATTGGTTAGATTTAGGTGCATTTCCAAGTTTCCAGTTCGGAGTAATACCTGTCAGAATTCATAGCTTATGTAATGCTAGAAGAGCGATGAGCTGTTACGATAATTTCATGAAAAACTTATTTGAACTTCCCTTATTTTTAAAGCAAAATACTTAACTTGATCCCTGTCCCTTGGAGGGAAGGACAGAGTGTGAGCCAGCAAGAAAGATATCTACAAAGTACCATCCAGTGAATGGCTATGTTCCTTCTCTTACCTGATTATACAGTGATTCTTCACGTCTCCAGCAGGATAGGAGAACATTCTACATGATGAATATTCCAGATAACAAGCTTACATCTTACAGAAACTTTATCTTGACTGGGTTTGAAGGAAGTCTTACAAAAATATTACTTTAATTAACAGTGGTTGTCTGTGAAGCAGAATTTATCCAAGTGAGCAATGGGTCAACTCTTTCCAGGTAAAAAAGATGCAGATGGGTGTAGTAGAAAGAACCCTAGATGTGGAGTTGGAAGACCTGAGTTCAAACCTCTGCTCGTCTGTTTGCTGTCTTTGTGACTTTGGGCAAGTCAGTATCGCTGGGCCCTAGTTTTTGTCATATGTGAAATGAGAGGGTTGGATTGGACTTCTGAGTTCTCTTTCTAGCTATAAATCTGTTCTCTGATCTCCAGATAAGTGGTGTGTTAAAGTATGTTGTCTTAAAATTATTCTCTAGTTTCATAGTTTTGTTTGCCTACCTAGAGTATGATCTCCCTAAGGATGTATTTCTTAGGTATCCTCTACTGTGCTTGCAAACAGGTAGTGATGTGGTGTTTTAATGCATTTAGGAGAGTGATTTGGTAAAGAAGCTGGGTCCCTCACGGCAATAACTCTACTAGGTTTATAAGCCCCAAAGACATCAAAGAAAGAGGAAAAGGACCCTATGTACAGAAATATTTATAGTATCTGTTTTCATAGTGGCAAAGAATTGGAAACCAAGGAGGGTGTCCATCAATTGAGGAATGGCTGAACAAGTTATGGTATATGTACTTGATGGGATGCTCTTGTGCTGTAAGAGATAAGGTGGTGGTTTTAGAAGAAAAAAAAAAGACTTGTGTGAACTGATGCAAAGTGGGCAGAACTAGGATAACAATTTATACAATAACAACAATATTGTAAAGAAAAACAGCTTTGAAAGACTTGGAAATTGATCAATACAGCGGAATCAACCACAGTTCCAAAGGACTCATGATGAAACGTGTTATATCCCTTCTGAGATAGAGAGGTGCTGGACCCAGACTGCAGATTGAAGCTTTTTTTTTCTGTTTTTGTTTGGGGGGGGGAATGTGACTATTGAAGGAATTTGCTTGACTATATATGTTTGTAACAGGTTTTTTTGTTTATTTTCTTAGTGTGTGGGAGAGAGGGCACTGGGAAAGAATTCAAAACTGAAAATTAAGTAAATTGAGTTTTAGAAAAAAAGCTGGGTCCATACTCAGCCGAGGTAGGGTGGGAAATCACCAACTAACATTGCTTTCCTTGCTCTCCATCACCTCAAAAATAAAATCTGGTTTTGGGGGTATTTTTCTCATGTTATACTTTCTTATGCTGCAGTAAATATCTTCCCAAGGTCGTTATGAGGATAAAATGAGATAATCTCTATAAAGTCCTTAGCACAGTGCCTGACACATATAATAGTTGGTATATAAATATTAGTTAATATCATAGCTAGATTTTGCTAAATATTGTACAGAAGGAAAATAAAAATTTCTTGGAAACTTTGCTTCTAACAACCGTAGAAATCTGAGATTTGACTACTTTTGTAATTTCTGGGATTTTATTGGTGGGTTTTTTGTTTGTTTGTTTTTTAGCTTTTTGGTGAGGCAGTGGTTAAGTGACTTGCCCAAGGTCACACAGCTAGTAAGTGTCAAGTGTCTGAGGTCATATTTGAACTCAGGTCCTCCTGACTCCAAGGCCTGAGCTCTATCGGACATTGCGCCCCCCTAGCTGCCCCATGGAATTTTATTGTTAAAGGGGTAGAGAAATGCTGGATATAAGGCTTGGTAGTAAGGAAATGACAATAAAATTAATGTGTAAAGGTAGAGCTCCTGTTAGATTTTCAGTATTAAGCATATAAAGTCAAAGGTTCTGATTTTGATTATCCTTGTACATGAAATTAAGCATATTATTTACGAGATCAATATTTACATTTTTTCCCTCATGTTGTTAGTTACACTGTAATTTATTTGATTAAGGTTCAAAAGTGGTAGTAACTAGGAAAACCATGTTCAATTTTCTCTGATTGAGAGAACTTTTGTGTGTATTTTGTAGGTCATTTTGTGCCACCTGAAAAAGTACATGAAGAACTTTTCAAAGGTTGTGACATTCCATTTTCAAAGCCCTCTCATCCAGCAGTAAAACGCTATAACAAGGAACGGACATATGAAGAAAAGATAAGAATGGAGAAGCGATTTAAAAAGAAAGAAAATAAGCTCCGAAAGAGATTAGCTGAAAAGGGAATAGATTATACATTTCCTAAATTAGTAAGTGTTTATTTATGAACTACATTTAAAAATATGAAGGATTTTGTGTATTTGGCCAAGTGTTAGGAATGAATCTTTGCCAAAGTTAACCTTGGGAATTGTATTAGGTAAAGCTTACTTTACTGTGTGGCACCTTAAATCTAAGATAAGTTGAATGTCACAACCATTCTATGATAGGAGCAATATCCTAGTCCCGACCCACATTCAGGTTAGTCTGCTTTTTCCTTAAAAGGCATTGAGACCTTCTCCAGGTTTGGTTAATTCTATTGATATCACATTATCATTACCTGAGCGCAAAGCAGTCCTGAAGAGCTCCAGGGGTACTCTGATGCTTGGCTGATGGACCTTGATGAGTAATTTAAGAAAAGGAGTTTTGTTCAGCCAGATCATCTTGAGGTGTCCTCAGTGCCTGTCTTCATTGAATATTCTTCTGCTAAGGCTAATATGTCATTTTATTGATATTAAATCTAAAGTACTTCAGGGACTTGATTGAATCAAGACCAGACTAGAATATTTGCCCTAGTTTTGCAGGATTGAAACATAATGAACTCATTGATTTGGCAGTGCAAAGGAAGGTAAGCCCTGACTGGCCTTCATACACTTTTGGTGGTGCTTTTGGTGCTGCTTCTAGAATGATGGTGGCTTGCTGTGAGCTTCACCTCATACGCACATTAGAGGGTAAACCACCTGGGGCCATTCAGCAAGGAGAAACTGATGTGAGTATGCCTGTCCTTAAGAACTAAATTTTGAAGATAATTGGGCAAACTTTGTTTTAGGCCCTCCAGCTTTGTTTGAATTTGCAGCCTTTATATTCTAGTAAGGGTTGAAATTTAGGGAATGGAGAAAGATTTCCCCTCATTGAGAGGACTAATTCCAATTAACTAGGTGTGCTCTGCTCGTTGGGACTGGATACCTTTATATGTAATGGACATTATCACCCAATTTAGGAGAAGCCTCCTGAAACTTCAGAGGGACCTAAGCAGCTTTTAGGAATTCATATTTGTATAAACATTTCGGTTTTGAATGACTTTTTGGAAATGATTGTGCAGCTGAACCAGCAGTCCTAAAATTGTATATGAAAATAACTAACCATTAAGAGGGTGATACGAGGTTCTTCAACAGTGAGAAAATGCAAATCAAAGCAGATCCCTTATATTTTAGTATTGTTTTGACTGTGCTGAAGAAACTACTAGAGTTTTGTTTTTTAACTTAGAATATGAGGGACAAACCTCAATTTTGCCACATGAATTTTTTTTTCTTTGGTGCAGGCCATTGGGGGTCAAGAGCAGTGGCATTTGAAAGGACAATCCTAAAATCTTCCTTAGAGGCGTAAAGATATTTATAGAATTAGGGATATGGACAGGTGTACTCATTGCCTCCCATTTAATTAGCTAAGAACAGTCAGGGATGCTGCATTAGTTTAAAAGGTTTCCATTCCCCCTGCTGCACACCCAACTGAACTGTAATTCTCTGTTATTTCTAATTAGGGGTCCCTGAAGAGCATAGAACTCAAGCGTCAGTGGCATTTTCTTAACCTCAACAGAAATGGCTGTTAGTTTCACATGGGAAATAAAGCACATGTACTGGCCTAGAGGAGTCTCTGGCTTTGCTGCCTTTTGTGTTTGTATTATGTCTGTCCTCCAGCATAGGAAGGTAAGAGTTAGGCCCCAGCAGTAGCAGCACTTGCAGTGCTTTTGTGTAGCACAGGAGGGCAGAAGCAGCTGAGTAGTGTTCAGGCCTACCTTAGTACTCCATCCCAGCATAAGGGTAGTAGCAGTTGTCTTTTCCATAGCACAGGAGCTAAAAGTGACTGGCAGAGTGGGCATCAAACAGTAGATAAATTTCCAGTAGCAGTCAACCCAGTGACAAAAGGCAGGTTTTACCTTGGCTTTATGCTTACTGTAATATAAGATTGATTAGGACCCTCCAAAATGCTGCCAACGCAGCACCCACTTGTAATTGTTCAACTCCTTCCTAATAAGGGCTAAGACCAGGGAGTGGCATGTGTGTCCCCCAAGGCGCCCTGCCCTCTTTTTTTTTTTTTCTGGAGCAGTTCAAAGCTGGAATAGTTGATTTTCAAAGAGACAAGCAATTATCAGATATGGCTTCACTGTGACTTATGGTGTCTTTTTATTAGGCCAGCTTTGTTACTTAACTGCTGGAGTTAGGGGAGTAAGTACTGTGTAATTGCAGACTTGTTCCCTTATTGTGGATTGACTGGCTTCGTGGACCTGACAAAGATTTCTTTCTGATCAGCTCAAGTCTTTGAGCCTATTATTTGGACCCTTACCAGCCTCTTTTACATTCTTTCTGTCTCTATCTCATATTCGTGCATTTTTTTTTCCAAAACTCAATACAGATTACTATGACCTCCTAATTGGGAAATATTATGGTCTTTTCTCAGTTTTCTATTACTCCTACTTCCTGGATATTCCCTCCTTCTTTGATTTACATGACATCACTCATTTCTGCTTCTTCTTGTTTTATTTCTTTTCAGACGCCTTCATTGATTCATTGTCTACTTCCTGCTCCTTAAATATGTCCCCTTATACCTCATCTTAGGCTCTCTGTAAACTTCTTCCCTTCAGTATCTCATCTGCTTTCCATGGCTTAGTTTTTACATTTGAGGTAATCCTCAAATTTAAATTTTTAATTTCACTATCTGAAACTCTTTCCTATGTTTCCAGATACCTACATGGGTATATGGTGGAGGTGTTACGGGTGAACATTTTCAGAACTCAGCTTCTCTTCCCTCCTCTGAGCTTTTCTTCTTTCTGTTGAGGATGCCACCATTTTCCCAGCAAATTTAGGGGGAATGTATCATTTCTCTTTCTTATCCTTAGAGTTCATCAGTTTCAGCCTTGTCATTTTTCCCTCTGTAACATCTCTTTTATTAGTCCTGTTCTCTGCTTACAGGTATACCCATCTGCATCAGGCACAGACTTGAAATACTAATTAGTTGTCTCTCCTCTAGGCCCTCCATTGTACAATCTGTTGTTCCTGATGCATAGATCTGACCATGTAGTTTCTGTGCCAGAAAGTTTTCAGTGACTTCTTGTTGCCCGCAACCAGATTGTACACTGAACGGAGAGGCGTGAAATAACTTATGACATGGGCCAGGCGGAGTAGAATTACTGACTCAGTTTATTCATCTGAGGGCACAGAATATATAGGGAAGATCTAGCCTAACTTCAAAGAGTCCTCCCCGTGAGATACTCCCCAGAACATCTGCTGAGGATGTAACAATCATGAATTTCCTCCTTATCAGGGTTCCTAGATTGGGCTGTAGATTCCAAGGTTTTCCCAGGCGCCTAGGCCCCACCTGCATAGAGGAGTAAATACGTAAATCTAAGGTTCAAAGAGAGAGAAGGGATGTCTCAGAGACCTCTTTATCAGGAAGGAATTTGGGGAGCCATACCACTTAATCCCTGAGCCCTTTGGGGTGAAAGCCTGAGCAGAGGTCAAACTCTGCCTTGGATCTTAAACCCTTATCAGACTCTTAAGATCGGCCCTCTTATGGCTTCCAAGATAAAATGTAAATTCCTTGACCTGACATTCAAGTCTTTCCACAATCTTATTTTCCAGTTTATCTTTCCCCTTCATATACTCAGTGGGCTAACCAAATTGGGACACTATTCTATCTCAGTCTGCTGTCTAGAGAACTTTAGATTGCATCCATACCTTTGTAACATTATACATTGTAATATGTTTATTTATTTGTATACACTTCTCTTTTCTCCCCCTCCCCACTCTTCCATCCTGACTGGAAGCATCTAAACCCCTTTAGGGAAGCAACTGACCTGTTTTATGGAAGGTCTAAATCAGGGATACTCAACCTGGGGTCTGTTAACTTGCCTTTTTTGGTAATATTTTATAACTATTTCAATATAATTGTTTTCCTTTTTAATATATGTTTTTATTCATTTTAAAACATTCTGAGAAAGGGGTGTCTAGTCTTCACAAGACAGGGGTGGGGGAAGCAAGGTGTCCATGAAAATAAAGGTTAAAAATTACTGTTCTAAACTGTTATCAATAACAAAAGTAATAATCTCAAAACTATATTAAAATTTTATCATCTTAAACTTTTGTTTAAGGTTTTACGGAACAGAAGAAAAAAGGTTGCAGGGACTACTCTTGAGAAGTCTGTTGATAATGAGGTAAAAGTATTTGGGGCACCAAATGTTAGCAATGCATATTTGGATAGGTGTGTAGGGGTGTGTGTATATATGTAAATAACTTGTTAAATATGTATTACAGGATTTACCCAAGAGGGAAAAAATGAATGTTTCAGATGCTGTCTTTAATTCTGTGGACAGCCAGGTAAAATTATATTATTTACACTGCATAGAGCTTTAGATATGGTCACTATAATAAGCTTGATAGGTGAAAATAGTAATTTCTTTTAAAATTCAGAAGTCAAGTGAATCATTGTTTTATAATAAGTTAGAGTTTGAGATAAGTTTAACAGAACCTATTAAAGTTGACTTAGTACAGTATATTTTACATTTTGATTCACCTAAATGTATATAATTTGATATATATTGGGATATATAATTTGAAAAAGTAGTGTTTGTGGCTTACATCAGGGACTTCAGTATTAATGTTCTAATTAATTTAGAGTGGAAGAGATCAGTCTTATTTTCTTGACAAGTATCTGAACTACTACCTACTTGTATATGCAAATTGAATTAAGAAGTGTGAGATGGCCTTGAAATTAATATAGAAACCAGATTTACAGCTGCTTTCTAAAAGCAGACTGATATTTTATGTCTGATGTCCTTACTCTTTGACTAATTCTGCAAATCAGTTGACTTTCCTAGCCCTTCAGTATTCTCGTCTGCAAAATAAAATATTTGGACTAGATTACCTCTTGCGTCCTTATTTCATCTTAGTGTCCACATTTCTGTGTCTCTGTAAATTAAAGCCTTCACATATACAAACCAGAAATGACGTTCAATGTTTTTACTTTTGTCTTCTGCTTCTTGTGTCTAGGGCTCCACATCCATTTGTTCACCAACATTTTTAGAGAGGCGGAAAGCTCAAGCAACTGAAATGAATGATAATGAAGTAGATAATGAAATTGTACTTAAACTACCACCAATTGTTAACAAGAAAGTAACACCATTGACTCAGACTCCACCAAGTTCAAGAAGAAAAAAGGCAAAGAACAATAAAGGATTATCCTGAATATGGCATCTGCCCAGGGAACTTGGGTTTTGTTATTAGAACCTATTCTTGTATATGAGTAGTTATGAGTAGTTCTTCTTAACCATTTGTTAATTGTTAGTTTTGTGGGGGAAATCTTTTGTAAAATTCTTCCATTTACCAATATAGATAATGCTAACTGACTACTTTTGCTTTAATGATATTTGAAAAAATTATTTTACTTTTATGAAAAGAAGTAAAACTGCTTTTGTATTTGCTCATTCTTTAGCATGATAAAACAAGGTAAACGTTTTCAAGTTTTGCTAAATGTAGAAAGGTAATACTCAGATTTAGAGGAAGAAACAGCATCACCAGTATGAGTACGTAAGGGGAAAATTTTTAACCTGCTGTTGCCCAAAAGTGTTAATGTATGCTACCTCTTCAGTTGCTGTATTGTGTATTGTGCTGCTTGCTAGTTATGCAAATACTGTACTTTCCACTTCTGTTACTTTTGTTTTGCCCACAGTCCCATAAGTGAACCCTGTTAACAAAGTACTTTACTAAGACCACATTGGTTTTTGGGATCAGCTTGTACCGTGCTCTTTGTCTAACATACTAACATAAAAGTATTCATATCAGAGGCATGCCCTTTGTTACTGGACCTATATTATTTTTTAGTAATGTTAATACGTTATAACCAAACTTCACTAAAATATTGTTTGTTGTAAAAAAAAAATGCCCATTTATGATGCTCCTATCCTATGAAGCAAGCTTTCCCCATGTTTACTTAATGGCTTATTTCCATGGAGCCTGTATTAGGTAGGAGTTAATGTGTATACTCAGTTACCTTATTAGACAGATTCAATCATTTTCCAGCAGTTTACCTTTATGTTATATTAAGATGTGAGAAAATATATGTAAAGTGCTTTGCAAACCATATTCAGCTCACAGCAGTCACTTAAGAATTCATAAAATAAGATAGTAGAACTTGGATGATAACTAGAAAAGAGTAATAATTCAGGTAATCTACAGTTCCCAGTATTTGACTTCTAGATATTTGTATATATGTGCCTGCAGCACGGGTATATAAGTATTTTCTCTAGAAATTGGATGAGTGGAAATGTTCCTTGTATCACCATCAGCCTACCTTATTATTATATAGTCACAGCTGTGGAGGCCTGTATTCTCATCTCTACAATTTTCCTTTAGCTGGATGTGAGCAGCAGGACTCAAATGTTCTTAACCCCTGAATGCCTGTATCAGATATAAATAGTTAAGTTCCCAGACTGAACTACAGAGCCTCCTTTCATATTATGGCTATATAGACACAGACAGACTTATGGTAGTAAGCATGATTAAAAATACAGATTCTGTACAAAGCATGTAAGTTCTAGACAGCCAAGGTAAACATTTCACTGTAGTAGTAGCATTTACCCCTCCCCTCCCCCCATCCTCTTAATATAACTTGAGTTAGCCATAAATTATCTGCTGTGGTAAATTACTGAAATGTAACATCAACAAGCAGTTAAGCATTATGTGTCAGGCAGTGTAAGAAGCACTGGAAATGCAGAGACAAAAAGCATGGTCCCTACCCCCCACAAAGAATTCGCATTATATACATAGAAGATAATGCAGTGCAAAGGAGAGGTATTAGAGTACCTTAGATAGAGGTATTCTCTATTCTCAGAGGTAAGGCATTAGAAGTGGGAAGGACCCAGACAGACTTGCACAAGGAAGGATTTGGGTTGATTTTTAAGTCAGGAAGCAGAGCTGAGGCAGGAGTCCATCATAGGTGTGAGGAATGGTTGGTGAAAAGCCACAGAATAGGAAATGTGTTCAATGAACAGGAAGAAGGGTATTGTCACTGGATTGTTAATGAGTAAGAAAGGTAAAGAGGTCCAGGTTGTGAAGTGCAGTAGATGCTTAAACAGGATTGTATGTATGATCCTGGAAATGATAGACATTGGAATATTAGGGCATGGTTGGTGACATGGTCATACTGTGCTTTAGGAAGATCACTGGTAGCCAGGGGCAGCTAGGTGAAGCAGTGGATAGAGCACCCGCCCTTGAAGTCAGGAGGACCTGAGTTCAAATTCAGCCTCAGACCAAACATTGACACTTACTAGCTATATGACCCTGGGCAAGTCACTTAACCCCAACTGCCTAAGCAAAAAAAAGATTACTGGTAGCCAAATGAAAAATAAGATTGAATTGGGTGGGAAGAGACTTGACATAAGAAGGTCAACCAGAAGGCTATTGCGGTAGTTGAGGCAGAAAGCAATGAGGAGCTGTGTGAGTGGAGAAAAAGGGCTATAAATGAAAAATAAAGATAGAAACAAGAAAACAACATGGAGAGGAGAGGGGTCAAGAATGACACCTAGATTGTGAAAGCAGAGTGAAAAGCGATTTCTCCACAGCAAGGTTCTCAGGTAAGTGTAAAACTTTGTTTTCTGAAGGTCTTTATATGACTTCCCAACTAACATTACACCTGACATGAGAACCAAGGTTTCCTGAATCCAAATTCAGTGGTTTTCCCACAATATCATGTTGCAATTCTTGCTCAGGTCATCATAAATGCTCCTGAGAATATCAGGCAAACACTGCAGGTCTTGCTCTGGTTAGTATCTTGAGAGTTTCAATGTACTGTTAGTTGTCCACCTATTATGTTTTCATCAGATGACTAGAACTTAGAGCATTTTTGGTCATGTGTTTATTTTTATTGTTCAGTCATGTCCATTTCTGATCTCATTTTTCTTGACAGAGATACTGGAGTGGGTTGCCATTTCCTTCTCCAGTGGATTAAGGCTATCAGAAGTTAAGTGATTTGCCCAGGATCACATAGCTAGTAAGTGTCTGAAGCCAGATTTGAACTCAGTATGACTCCAGGCTCAGAGCTATCCATTGTGCCACTTAGCTACCTCCTAGACAAACAGAGGTCAAGTGACTTGCCCAAGGTACATAGCTAGTAAGTGAGGCTGGATTTGAACTCGGAAGCATAGCTAGTAAGTGAGGCTGGATTTGAACTCGGGGCTTCCTGACTCTAGGCCCAGCACTCTCTCTGAGTCATCTAGCTGAGCCATTACTTTGCTGGTTTGTTTTATAACAATATATACAACTTAGGTTTGTTTATTTAGCTATTAAAAAGACAAAAGGATGCTCATTTTCAATGTATAAAGGCTTCCATCCCAATTTCTTCGAATTTTCACAGTAACTTTAGAGAGTACAACTTTTGAGTCCAACTTGTAACAACAGACTGGAATTATAGAATTCATTTGCCAGGCTAAAGTGAATATCATAAAAGCAAAAGCTTCCAGTTCAGTGGGATATGGCATAGTAATTTTTAGATATTCCCCATAGTTCAGTGTTCATGTGGGGTTCAGTTCAGTGGGACATGGTATGGTAATTTTTAGATATTCCTTATAGTTAACTTGATTGATTGATTGAGCACAAAGGAACAAAGGTAAAGACGCAAGGCTTTGAGGCCTAATCTCTTCCCAAAGAACAAATATCCCTCATTGTATTTATAAAGAGCAGATTCTGCATTCATACCCTTATACTTACTACTCCAAGCTTTTCCATACCTCTGGGTTCTGTGTTCTGCCTTATTATAGAGATGCATATTATGAGGAAAAGAATTACAGACCTAGATGATAACTGGGCTTGAAACACAAGTCAAGAAGCGGCAGGTATATGCTGTTGGGTAAATTTCTTTTAATAAAGACTGCAAACTTAGGCTTGTGGTGGTAACTCATGGTATAAACCTGCAGAAAAAGCCGTTTTTGGAAAAGGGAAAAGGTATAATGTCAGCAATAGTTATCTTCTGTGATCAACTACATCCTCAAAGTTGAGCAATAGTCAGTGCAGTCTGTCTCCTACCCCATATTCATAATCACTGAGTCTTCTGTCCACACTTTAGCCTAGCCTATTATATTGGCTACTTAAACTGAACAATCCTTTCTTCTAATCTTTCTAGAGTGGCTTGTCCTTAAATGAAACAATAGAGGTGTAAAATATAGGGGCGTCTTCCTGTTCTTCTCCATGTGCCTCCATATCACAATATTCTCAATCATAATTGTCCATATTTACCAGTGTGGACACAAAACAGTATTTACACATTGTAGCAAACAATACTTCTAATGTGGACCTCGTTAAGTGATAGTACTACTATTGCTCTGAGATTACCTTCCAAGGAAGTCAAGTTAATGAGTATTTAAGTGACTACTATGTGACAGGCACTACGCTAAGCCCTACCACCTGCCCAATGTACGACTTAAATATACACCGTTGTTTGCATATTGTCTGCCCCATTAGAATGTGAGCTTCTTGAGATCAGATACTACTCTTGCTTTTACAGTTAGCCCTTCCACATCATGGGGGTTGGGGACACAGTGCCCCTGCAATCTGGAAAATCCATGTAAAATGTTTTGGCCCTCCCTAGATACCAGAGAAGTCTGAATTATTATGGTATTAAAAGATAAAATATGTTGATGTATGTTTCATGCATTTCTGAGCTTGTAAACTTTTTCTGTGTTGCCTGCTTCGTGTGTCTTCAGCTTCTGCAAAGCTCCCAAAAAATTCCCATTTAATTTCTTATGCCAACCCATAATATATCGAAACCGCAATGGGGAAAGTCAAAATGTGGAAGGGTTGACTGTATTTGTATCCTTAGCACTTAGCTCATTATCTGGCACAAAGTAAGTGCTTAATAAATGCTTATTGACTATCACTTGGTGTTGTGCACAACTAATTCAGCTCGCCACTAGAGCCAGGATCCTATACTAACTTGAAGGGATAAGGTCAGCTTAACCTTCTATCTTGAATGCGCATTGATGAGGCGGGAGACAAGATGGAAGCAACTCTGTTTATTTTTAGCAAAGCACTTATATAGTAAAATAACAGGAACTCTTTCTCAAGATACAATGACGTATAACCCATGCTGTGCTCAAGGACAATGCATGCACGTCCTGTGCACTTATCTGACTCCAATCCCAGAATAGACTGCTAATGACCATACAGTAACTAGGGAAGTTAAAGATTGTTAAAGATCCATACAATGGAGCACCGAACCAGGCGACCTTTGTTCAAAGATCAGCACCGAGAGGGGCCTTCACCCATCAGTGAGACCTCTTGAACAGCCTGTGGCCCTCTACATCCTTACAGATCCCCAACAACTTGGTACAAATCTGAATGCAACAATATCTTTATCACTGTCATTACCTTCCCCCTCAGCCATAGGAGCTTCGTTTGGTTCTTACTCTCCAAATCAAGTCTCATATAGAAATGGATAGGCATTTAGGTTCCTGGAGAAAGAATACAAATTGATAGAGTGATAATTCAGCAAGAACACTAATCCAGAGCCATTTAACCAAGACAGTTTGCTTTCAGCATTGTAGAATGCTGGAGCCTAAGCTATTGTAGTCGACCACTGCTTTGGTATTCAGCTGCTGCTGCCAGAGCCTAGCTTTTGGACTCAGAAGTAGGGAAAACCTTCTGGAAACCCATCTGGTCAAGCAGTAGGGGTAGCACCAGGATATAGATAAACAGACACACTTATTTCCTTGTTAATGTGTGTGTGTGTAGGTGCAACCTCACTAATATTTACAGCATTTGTCAAATGCGAGTAACGTGCTGCAGCCTA